GAGTACACAGCAAAACCATGCTTAGAGTATATATAATCTATATACTCTAAGCATGGTTTTGCTGTGTACTCACCCATTCCATTTATCTATATATGTGACTCGCCCAATCTTTAAAACAGTAGATAGTACAAATTTGCTTATTTTATTAAGATGAGTATTATTTTCTTATAAACTTTTTGATACATGATTTGAATTGGTGCTTGCAGCCTCACATCAAACCTAATTAAATTTGATTCATATCAACCGAATCTTGATTAAAAGAGGATTATTACCCGGTCTAAGTAAAGCAAACACAAAATATCATATTATAACTTATATACAGTATCAAAATATGTAAAAATTAAAATATTAAAAAATTTACGTATTAAACATAACTGTTGTTTCGCTGGTGACGACTCTATCTGATATGTGTAAATTAAATCATCTACTTCTCTACGGTTATTGTCTCTTCCAAGACTTAATCGTCGTCTTAAATTATAATTTATATTAATATGAATCACATGAATTGATAAGTTATTAACAATATTATAAATAGGAAATTGATATTTCCACACCCTTTTTTGATATTGCCACACCCCTGCTAACTCTAAACCTTACCAATTTTATTGATTTATATTAACAGGAGCACGACAATATCAAAAAAGGTGTAGAAATATCAATTTCCAATAAACAACCTTCTAACAGAATATCTTAAAGAATATCTAGGCGGCATATTAAAACACGAATTTGAGAGAAAAAAATAACGAAAATTATTTTATATAGATTTTTTTCAGATTAGCTTTTTGTTAACGTTGTATATTTGAGGTGTCATCAATCAAAACGTAAAGTACCATGTGAGATTAAAAATATAATTACAATATTAATTATAACACGTTATTATAACAACGTTTGATTAATGACACCTCATTTGTATATTTGTAATTAAATAATTTTACATAGTCAATTGACTGTATTAAATTTATCTAATTCTAAAAAAGAAAAAAATTCATATGTAGTGAATTTTCTTTATCAATATCGCATAGTAGACAAATATAATCTTGTATTAACACAAGTACTTACTTTTGGCAGTTGTCTCACAGCATAAATTTGGTTTAACACCAGAAATGATGTAAGAAAGGAATTAAGTTCAGTCTTGTAGAAAGCACCATAGCAAGTTTTACTTTGGATGATAAAGTCAAGGGTGCCGAGTGAAGGTGGAGATCGCTAAAATTACACTTTCGTGACTTTCAAGACTCAATTCAAAAATCACTTTTCAGATCTTCGCATTATCATTTTAAATTTTAATTATTAAATACCCATCGTGCCAAGGCGCCTCCATCGAGTTCAACATCATATAACTATGCTGTGTCCATAAAACAGAAATGCCTTTTATTGGCCGAGTATTAGAAAAAATTCCTGGTAAGAATTATTTAAAGTTTTACATATGTATGTTTAATTTTTTTTTTTTATATCGCATATCAATGATCAACAAGGCAGCTAAACATTGCAGTATTGTTTAATACAATATGAAAATTGTTCTGCTAGCAAAATACAAATAAGGGATCATTTTTTATAATTAATCGTACATTAATTGTATGCTTATAATTCATCAGTAATATTCAGTGTTGTCAAACAGTTTGTTTGTTGGTGGAGGAAAAATAATTTAATTCTGACAAAAATTACATGCAATTTATTTATTAATTAATACATTTTAACAATCTAATTTTTTTTAAGAGGTAAGTTTAAATCAATTCAAAATTCTATTATTAAATCTCAATTACATCTTTTTATTTGTATTTAAATTTGTTAAGAAAATCTCTTCAGATGTTATTAAATTACCCAAGTTTAATTTTAATGAGAGCTTTCAGCTCGCTATAAAATATTTTTGTATTGTATTTTATTTAATAATTGCAGTATTACGATTATCTAATGTCCAGCCAAAGATGATAAATATTTGTTAAACTTTTAAATATAAGGGCCTGTTTTGATAATAAATTATATAGCACAACTTATTGGTTAAGTATTCAATACTAATTTAATATATCACTACCTACAATATGAAGAATAATAAATTAATAGGGTGGTCGGATAAATCAAATCAATATTGATTAATTTCATAAATTTTTTTATAAGAGTGAAACCTGTAACCAATCATAGTAAATCATTAAATAGGTTTCCATTCTCACGCACTTAATTAAAAAATTGTTCAATATTATTGAACTATATTCAATTCAGCGTATTAATTTTTAGAAATCTATGAGTGATTCTTAATTCTCGCATTTATAATTTATGAAGTTTCGTAATATTTTTTCAATTACAAGATATGACATTTCAATTTTAATTCCCATTTATTTATTAATCAACTTAATTAATGAATTACAGCTTTTAATTGTATTCCAATTTTTTTTCTAGTAACAATTCAAAAAAATTTCTAGTTAAAAGTGATAAATGTACTAAACTTGAGGTACTTAAGACTATCTTTTAAATGAATATTGTTCTAAGTAAACAAATAAAATTCATTGCTTTGCTCAAAACCATATTTTTATAAATAGTCAGGACTTAAATCTATCTTTAATAGTAAAAAAATGAATTTCGATTTAAAAAAATTAAATACTAAAGCATTGATACAGGAAATTTCTCAATGGTCTAAGAATATTGATAATAAAACTATCCATGAGAAGAAATTATTTTATAAAGATTTATATACAAATCTATCAAAAAAATGTTCATCATTACTTAATAACATTAAGAAAGTTGATTCAAATTTTGATATAAGCTTATACGATTATAATGATGAATTAACGAAATGTTTTAAGTCAAATATCTATGATACTTTACTGTTTTTTATTAAAATACTTATGTGAATTTCTTTTTAAAAGATCTAAATAGATGCTAAAAGCCTCTTTGTAATCTTTTCCAACACCTAGCCCAGATTTTTGGCATTTTGCCAAAAAATCTTTGCATTATCTTTGTATATTGAATCACTTTGTGCAACTTGTTTAAAGAGTTTATAGGTTTTATTATCACTTTTTTAATAAAGCTCCTGTTTTTATAATACAATGCCAAATAATATTTTGCTTCACCTTTATATATTGAATCACTTTGTGCAACTTGATTAAAGAGATCATAAGCTTTATTTTTTACTTTTTCTAAAAATTAATACGCTGAATTGAATATAGTTCAATAAAGATTTATATTATTGACAATTTTTTAATTAAGAGCGTGAGAGTGAAAACCTGGAAACACATTTAATGATTTACTATGATTGGTTACAGGTTTCATGGCTTCAAAACATATGTCTCTTTGCAATAAAACATAGATTTAAAGTAACCCGTAAATTATTTATATCATTTAAAATTTACGGTTCGCCTAAATATCATGTAAACGAAGAAATTAATTCATGAAAATGTAAAAGAATAACTATTATATTACGAGTCATGTGATTTGTCTTTAAGGTCACTCTCCTTCGACATTTTTTATGCCAGCGGCTATTTCATCCCAGTTAAAAGATATCTCGATAGATTCTGTTGCGTAATTTGAGTTGATTGTTTCAAGTTTTTCAAGTTGTCGAACAAATTCCTTATCATTTGCATCATGAGAGTTTAAAGTTGTCTCGATAGATTCTGTTGCATAATTTGTATCATTTGCATTATGAGACATTTCCCGATTAGAGTGTCGAGAATTCAGCGGCGCATAAATCAGCTCGCGCTCTTTGTATTGATTAAATAAAATACAATACAAAAATATTTTATAGCGATCTGGAAGCTCTCATTAAAATTAAACTTGGGTAATTTAATAACATCTGAAGAGATTTTCTTAACAAATTTAAATACAAATAAAAAGATGTAATTGAGATTTAATAATAGAATTTTGAATTGATTTAAACTTACCTCTTAAAAAAATTAGATTGTTAAAATGTATTAAAATATGACATTGTATCTTTGCACTGTTCATTTTGTTTTAAAAATAGTCACAGTACTTATGATTGCAAATTTAAAAAGCAATAGAAATTGAAAATTTAAAAGTTATTTAATTTAGCGATGTTAATTTGGAAGTAAAAATATAGAATTTTGATTAATTGAATAATTTAGCGATGTTAATTTGGAAGTAAAAATATAGAATTTGATTAATTGAATAATTTAGTATTTTAATTTATTATTCAATTTTACTTAATAATTACAAATTCTATAAGAAAAAATGCAAATAATTCACGAACCATTAAACAAAGTTTTCGTTTTATTCTGCTATATTTTAGGTCATATTTGCTTTAGATTCTTGATGGTCTTTTAAACCACACTATGCGATATTTGCACGACATAAATATAAAATAATTTTGTAGAAATTATTTAAAAATAAATAATTCAACCTTAAATTTAAAAAATAGGATTTCAATTTTTAGATGTTTATGCATGTCATTAACATACATAAAAAAAATTTAGTACATTGCGATTTACATAGCGGTAACATATTAATGGAGTCAAGTAATTGTTTTATTACAGATTTAGGATTTTGTGGGCCAGTTGATGAAAAATCATCAAATGAAGTTTATGGGATCATTTGTTCCAGAAGTATTTGGAAGAAAAAAACATACGAAAGAATCAGATATCTATAGCATAGGGATGTTGTTGTGGGAAATATTTTCAGGTTGTCCACCATTTAATTATAGACCACATGATACTCAGTTAATAACAGAAATATGCAATGGATTGAGGCCGCTACTTTCACAAAATATTCCTACATGCTTTGCAAAAATAATGCAAAAATGCTGGAATATTGATCCACTCAAAAGGCCAACTACCGAAGAGCTTTGTGAATTCACTAATTATGAATTTGTAAATATCTATAAAGATAAAAAATTCGATAATACCATTTCAATTTTACCAAATTCTAATCAAGAAAATCTAGAGGAAATAAATCAATCAAATCCATTGGCATATTCATCGAGTAGAATATTAATTGAAGTCGTTTGATGGTGAAATTGGTGAAATTAGTTTTTTAATATTAAAAGTTAATTTAAAATATATTAAAAATTAACTAAGACTAAATAAATAATTATTTGATATTTAATTTATAAAAATATTAAGATATTGGAATTATTGTTGAAATTGTTGTTGAAATTAAAAAATTAAAAATAAATTTCACCCCACCTATAACTGCAAAGCTCAGTATTTACCGTATTTATCCGACATGTGTACCCGGGGTATTTCCCTGGTTCGTTTTAGTATCCGGATACTCATGTAGGGGTCTACTATATGAATACTACTATGTTTTTAATATGTTTTACTATTATATGCCGGGTATAAAAGTGTGATACCCCATACTTATATACCAGGGTATAAGTCAAAATTTTGCCTTCAAAATCGTTGCAGGGTACAGTAAACAGGGGTACACATGTCGGATAAATACGGTGATACTTTCTTAGTAAAATTTTTGTTTATGTGGTATATAATAAATTAGCCAAAACTTACCTAAATGATTTTCATCAAAATCTGAACTATCTAGTTCTTTTATATTTTTTGTTACTTTTTGATTTCAATTTCTTATTTTTTTTTTTATGCTGCATAACAGACGAAATTTTTGTCTTTTGTCCGAATGCTAATTCATAATAGAATAAAATGTCTTGCTGCTCCGTTAGTACTGTATATATCGTCTTTTGTCCTATTTATTACGGTACGCGCGCAATGGCCAATTTTTGTACTATAATAAGGCTTCTTACGCGAAAGCTGTGTATTTTTATTAGTCATACTAATACGCATACAACAATAAATCATTAGCTTCTTTGTCCGAATGGCATTACATCTTCCCGCAAAGAGAGAGGTTTAGTATAAAAATTTTCTCCGAGAGGGTGTAATGTAACCACCGAATTAAGTTGGTCTGGCCTAAGCAAGAAGCAAACTTTGGACTTTTCATAATACAGTAATTTACCCGGCCTGTTAGTAAGTTCCAATATTGCTTTAAAGTTTAATTGATTTATTAGTCTAATAAATATGATTAAAAATATGACAATACATGTAAAATTCATGAAAAAAAAAATTTAGAGATATCACATTACATGGGTGTATGTAAGAATCAATAAATTATTTCCAAGTTTAATATTTTCTATGCAAGGTAAAAGTA